TTAACTTGAAAATGGTGCCAGGATGACACCGAAACGTCGTTGCTCAGTTTTTTCGCTAATCTTTATTGTTAACTGTATTTCCAAATTTAATCTTATAAAAATATGATAATGTCTTCAGAAAGTGATCTTCATTAAGTCTTCCTTTAACTCTATCCCTATCTATCAGTCTTTCACCTGTTTTGAAAATGGCTGCCTTTAGAGCTCGCGCTTTGTACGAAAGAGAACAAAATACTGCTGTTAAAGCGTTGTCGGCCAAGAACCTCAGACACTGCTATTTGTGCTTTCAAAAACGTTTCCGTTCCTGTTTCTGGGCTCATCTACCAGGAGCTTGCCATTTCCTCGCATTTTCTTGCATAACAGCTTGAAATAACTTTGTTTGGTTTGCCTTGTGGCCCTTCACTGGTAGCATAAAACTTGAATCTTTGATTCTCTAAACCGCTAATGTATTACAGGATTATAGTGCTGTTTAAGTGGATTATCGCTCCTTCCTCATCCCATCTCGTCGAATTAATGAAAACACGTTACGATCTTTTTCGCAGAACAACACTGGTCTTACACTACGATACTGACGTAAACCATAACTATTACTTCTCAGAAATGGCGCAATTTTCTGTATCTCGTGATTCAGTCCGCAAGTTTTACTTGCGTGATCTATATGAAAATAACTTTCCATGTGTGGAATTTAATAAGGTTATAGACAATCAAAAAATTACTTGCATCGCTTTGCGTGTTTTAATTTTTTGTCGTAAAACGTCCATCCAGAACAGTTTTGTCCAGCGTACTATTAAATCTGAAGCAAGTAATTTGCATTGAAATTTGAATGATATCCGGAAGGTCGAAGGGTTTATGTCATGACCTGTCCTCATCTTTCAATTTCTGCAAGTTTTATTCCAATACTATGATAGCCGTAGGGTTCTAGATCTCCGACAAAATGAGGATGTTGCTGTAAAAGTTAAAGAGTGTTTTAGCCTATTGAAGCACGGATAATTTTCCAAAAATATGACATACATATCTGGATGTGAATTCAGTATTGTACAAATAATTATAATCAAAGCTGCATACATGTAAACTTGGAAGACGAACATTTCAATGCATTTCTTTTTTCTTGACTCAACTTTCTTGCCTAAAGGGTAAGCGCGTTTGACCTGAACTCTGGCCTCAGGGGATAGGGACATTGATGGCTTTTGACCAGGGTCAATGTCAAATCCCCTTCCCTTCCCCGGAACCCAAGGGGTGGGGGTTTCAATTGACTAGTGCATAGCAGTCGCATAACATAGAAGTCGTGGAGAAATAACGTTTTTTTTTTTCGTTAAAACAACGGAGTCATCTACGTAGAATAATATAAGGTAAATAATAAAAATACAGTGAAAACAAAATTTATATTAACTGTTTAGAAAATGCCTTTGAGAGAACAAAAAAACCGATGTATTATGTTCGTCACTTCACGAAACATTCAAATTTCGCCGTCAACTAAAATAACAAAGCTGATGCCTTCGATCAACGTGCTGAGAACAAAAACAAATCTCGTAAGAGGTGATTTTGGTTAGCCTGTGGACACAGACGGAATTTGGTGGGATACTTAAAATTATTCGCATTCATGCTATGATGGTGCAAACAAAATGCAAATTGAACAACGCCGAGTTATTCCTCAGACTGTTCTATATTCAGAGCAAAGAAATCATGATTTGAAACAAAAAGTACTACGAAGAAACAAGAGAACTAGAAAAGTGGCAAAGTGAGATTTCGCCTGAATGTTGACGTTAGAAAGGAGAAGGAAGACTCATAGCCGAATGTAATAAAAACAAACATCGCGTTTAGTAAAAGGCCGACTGAATTTTGGCAGCAAGGGTACAACAGCAGCCAATGCTCACCTTATTGAATCTCTTTTAGATAACTGGCTGACGGATAACCATGCATATTACCATAGATATAATATATTACCTTCGCAGTCTGCTTGTGTCTGTGTTTTTTTACGAGTTTTAGTTTCCAAACTTATTTCTCAACTGCGTTAATCCTCAAAGGAGCAAAGACACTCTGGCATCAAAAGAACTAGGCACGGGATTTTATAAATTTGAGTGAACAGCTCGAAATAGGCTTTCGCAAGTGAAGGAACAAAATTATGAAGTTGAAATTAAAAAATTCAATTTTCTCGATAAACCCCTCTCCTGATGCTATCGCTCATTTAGTTCAAAAAGCATTCCTTACTCGTAAAATAAAACAGAAAATTGCTCCCGTAGCTCTCCAGAATTTTGTGGCAACGCGTTAAAATAAGACCTGAGTGAATAAGCCAATCAAATGGGAGCAATGGTCGTCGTTTGGGAGTTGTGATTGGCAGGCTGAATACCTCAGCCTCGTTATATAGGATCGCTCCGTTTTTAAGCGAATTACGATAGCAACGATCGATACTGAGAACGCCACCAAACAAAGGTTTAATGAGCAGAACAATGGCTATGCACGTGCGTTAAAAATCTTTGCACATTTTTTTTTTCCTGTTTTCTGCACATCAACAACGTAAATTAAGTCTGCTTAATTGTTTGTTTGTTCTTTTGCAACGTGTGAGATTGTCAATGAGATGACACAAACAAAGCATCAGAACAATGAACCAACAGACGAAAATCGGCCAAGGCCATGACTTCGAAAAGGCCGCTGCCTGTTATGAAACTAGAAACGTAAGAAAAGCGATAGAAAGGTCAGAGACATGAAAGAGAGATGAAAATTGCCTGTTTATAACTCAATTTCTACCTTCTTCCCGGCTGAAAGAAAGGGCCTTATGATTGGAAATAAATGAAATTAAACATTTAAGAGTATAGTCCAACTTACGGAAATTGCAGCGATTACTTGGCCAGTCAGTCCTAAGAATATCCCTGCAGGAAGTCTTATTATACCAAAGCCAATGTACTTTGTGCTACCAAGCTGTTTATCCTTCACATGAAGATTCCCGGTATACCTTTGGAAGCATTAATTACTAGTTACAAAGTTAAACTAAAATAATATCCTACTGATATTTTTCTTCCAATGTTGATCAACTACATTATTAATTAATAACCTACACCGAGTTGCCACAATTGACCATCGTTTGTTCGCTCAAGACTCAACGCCGAATGAATATGGAAGAAGTTCTTCCTGATTTCGTTCCACTCTTCAAGCAAATTTAATGACCTTCTAAACTTAAAGGATAAATTTAGATGTCCTCTCGAAATTTGTGAAAACTTGGCAACGATCAGTTGTAAGCATGAAAAGACTCCGAAAATAGCACTTGACTTCTAGTAGCCTGCATAGCTCGGCGGTTTTAAGCAATTTGAGCGCGCTAAGAAAGCGGCGAAGCCGCAAGGAGCCTGGGAGAGAGACAACTGAGTTGCTCGCTGCTTCGCCGGTTGTTTTCGCGACTTCGCCGCATTGTGCGCTCGCGCTCAAGTTGCTTCAAAAATTGTTTAAACCGCCAAGCGACGCAGGCTAGACTTCTAGGTATTTTAAACAGCTTGAAAAGCATTTATTTGCAGGATTTCCTTGCAGTATGAATATAGGATTGCTATGCACAGCAAGAAAGGTCTTACAAACCTTAATTCCCCATGGACACTAATGTCACAAGAGACGTCCAAGTCTCCCTCTAACTTTAAACCGGCTGTAGCGTCCTTAACTCCAGATCCAAAACACTTCGGCTCAATATCAACAAATCCCATCAGGTTCAGATACGCTTTCATGGAGACGTGGATTTTTGCTTTTGCCGTTGACAGAATCTATCAAAGAAGCGTTTTAAATGTGTTCTTGCATGAGAAGCAAACAAACTATTGTGATGGAAAACTAAAGTTATTAACTTTTTTAAATATGTTCTTGCTTATTGTGCAAAAAAAATCTGAACTTTCCCGTTATTAATGAAGAAATTTTTAACCTACTCAAAGCAAAATGGCCTTGAAATGAGACGTCATATTAGGCGTCCTAAACTCACGATTCGAGGAATCGATCAAATATACTTATGCACGCGTATCGTGTGGGACGTGACCAATTCAAGCGCGCGGTGTTGTGTTACACTTTGAGCCGTTGAAAATTTGAGCGCTCTAAAAGGCATTTGTAAGGAGTTTAAAATAACGAAGAATAAAATCTCGCAAGGAAATAAAATATTATTTTTTTTGAATAAAGTAAAGAAAATATGCTCACCTAGCCTGGTTTCTGTTGTCCGTTTGGCCTATTTCATCGTTTTTCGGGGGGTTTTGAGGTGTTTGTCGCAGCTCTTTATAGACGAAGTCAAGGCTGGAGAGTGCTGTCTCGAAAGCCCTGTACAGCGAAGCCGTTCTCTCGCCGAAATTGGAATCCGCTGCATGATTTTCTCCTCCAACGCAAAGAAAGATAGTCCACCTGTCTCCTTTTCCGGTCGGCTTGGAAAAATCTTCCTCCTTTCCTCTCCAATTCGAACGATTTTTGTTTCACTACTGGAGCTTTCAACTTTCCGCCGCAGCTTGTTTCCGTCCTTTCGACTACGGCACAGTTGGAGATCAACATTAGCGACCGCTCTAGCATGACAACTGCGCCTTACCAGACGTGTGCACAGTCAAAAATTTCTCTTAAAATAAGGTAAAATATACCACCCTCTCCCGACGACCCCGCGGAAGCATTTTGACGCCTCATTCTAATTTAAGACCACTAACGTTAATTTCCAAATGTGCCGTAGTCGAAAGGACGGAAACAAGCTGCGGCGGAAAGTTGAAAGCTCCAGTAGTGAAACAAAAATCGTTCGAATTGGAGAGGAAAGGAGGAAGATTTTTCCAAGCCGACCGGAAAAGGAGACAGGTGGACTATCTTTCTTTGCGTTGGAGGAGAAAATCATGCAGCGGATTCCAATTTCGGCGAGAGAACGGCTTCGCTGTACAGGGCTTTCGAGACAGCACTCTCCAGCCTTGACTTCGTCTATAAAGAGCTGCGACAAACACCTCAAAACCCCCCGAAAAACGATGAAAT